TGTAGAAATCGAATTGGGAGGTATAATACCAATTTGTATTATCCGGGAAATATACTCTTCATTATGTATATATATAAATTTTCTGGACAAACTATCCAGAACATACAAATACAAACACAACACATTAATCTCTCAAACTCACAACATACAACTCACAACACACAACCCATTTTCACTCTTTCTCTCACACAATACACAAACATGGAGACTCTCTCCTTTCTCACTGCCCATTCTCCACGGTGCACACACTTGTAGTGTGTCACCCGACCACACCTTCCCTTATATGTTCTTTCTTCTCGGTGGTGGGTATTTTACAACCACTTCTTCAATCACTTTTATAAGTGAGTTGCACACAAAAAGCCAAATAGTGGTTAGTGAAGTGGATGGCTACTTTCGGTGTAGTGTGGTAGTTACAATCATCACAAACAAACAAATAAAACCGTGTGGACCCTTTTAAAGTTTACCCAACAAAACTCCCCCGTAAACTTTAAATTGGTCTTCTTACACTATATCCCATCATCTCGATTTTTTTCTTTTCTCCCAGATCTTCTGCTCCCTGTTCTCGATCTCTTCTCCCTGGATCGTCTAGGTCTTGAGTGTTCTGAATTCCTCCTCTTCAAATCAAACTTTTCCCGAAGCATTCGATCTAGTGGCTCAAATCTCCGCTGCTGGTGCGTCTCTAGAACCCGATCAACCTCTTTACCCAAGAGCTTTGATAGGTCCTTCCACTCCTCGATGACGCACACAAAACTTTCGAAATCATTCGTTCATGATTTCAAACTCTTCTCCACAACTCGGCTGACAGGCAGCGACTCTCCATTTCTGCCGAGTTGATCTGCCACTTTCTCCTTCAAATTTTCAAACTTCGTCTTGCCTAACACAGTTGTCCCCTGCACGCGTCTATTGAAGATGCCTCCTTTGCTATCTTCTCACCGCTGGACTTCTCTGTCCTTCACTCGCGTCTCTTGAAGATGCCTCCTTTGCTATCTTCTCACCGCTGGACTCCTCCTTCACAGGCGTCCTTTTCAACTCAACAATATGGGTCACAGATTTGCTCTTCCTTCTCTGTGGGTACTCGTTTCCCACAATCCACAACATCCCAAACACCGGGATCCAACAAAAGCTTTCATCTGCAGACTCCAATCACCATAGTCGACACACTCTGTCAACTTAATTAAGGACACTGTTAGCAAGATTAGTCATCTCTTAATCTCTCTATTTTTTCGAATACTCAAACTCTCTCTCTTTTTCACTATCCTTTTTTTTCGGACACTCAAAGTTCTCCCAATTAANAGGTGGTGGCGAGTAGCGGCAAGGGCGTCCTGCAGCGGTGGCAGCGGTGGCATTGGCGAGGCACGAAGAGGTGGCGGCGAGGTGGTGGCGAAGTCGCGGTCCTGCAGCAGTGGCGTTTCTGCATTGCAGCGGTGGCGTTTCTGCAGCGTTGGCGAAGTCACGAAGAGGGGAGGCATCAACCTTCATCTTTTCTTTTCTCTGTTCTGGTTTGGGCTTGCAGGAGCATCCGTTCTTCCCCCAAATCGTTCTCAGAGTTGGTGATGACAACCTCAGCCAACTAAACCCAAATCGTTCTCATTGCTTCAAAACCCAAATCGTTCTCAATTGATTCTTACAAGTGTTATTTTTTTTCTTTGTTATTTTGGGAGTGATATTGTTAAGGCTGGACTGGGAAAGTGATTGAATCACGTTGGACCAAAATAATTGCTTCTTGTTGAACCACGACTGGGAAAGTAATTGCTTCTTGTTGATATTCTACGATTTGGTTTTGTGAATCTGCGATTTGGTTTTGTGAAAGGAAAGGAAAAAATAACCCTTTTGCTTCTGTGCAACCAAAATAATCCAAATGCATACAAAAAACCAATATAATCCTGCATACAAAAAAACACGCAATTGCCTCGGTTATCAAGAACCGAGGCATAATCCTCTCTCGTATTACCCCGGTTCAGAACCGAGGTATAAACCTGCTTCTTTTTACCTCGTCCGTATATACCTCGGTTGTAGAACCGATGCATAAAAGCAAATTTAACCGATGCCATTTCTCCTTTTTGTACTAGTGCCCGCCCATAACTTTAGGTGTTCGCCCAGCTTGGTCGTATTACCCCTAAGAGAACCGATCGGACGTATCAGGCCGAGGCGCCCGATCGGATAGATTAGCTATGCTTCTACCCGATCGGCCCTCTCTAAAACCTTCCCGGTCGGTTGTCTGCCCTTGATAGTAACACATATTTTATAACTTAAAATATATAAAAATAAAAAGAAATTAGATTTTCTTAAAAAATAATATAAAAATAGGTTTTCAGTTCTTATTCAAGAAAGAATAGAAGCATAAAATAAAGAATATATTTTATGAACTCAATTTTAAAGTTATATATTTTTTACTTTTTAAGTTTAAAAAGAGTACATTTTCCTCATCTTTTAAATTTATAATGCACTCTAAGTTTCTTCATTGCCTTCTTATTTCTTTTACTTGTTTTTATTTGCAGAAGTTTGAGAATCTAACCGCCTTGAATTTTGACGACTGCAAACTTTTAATACGAGTACCTGACCTATCAAATCTTTAAAATTTTAACTAATTCCATTTTACATTACTTTTAAAATATTTTCTCAATTCAATTCATGACCTCTGTCAATTAATCATTATCAATTCTATAGTATTTATTTTCGCTGAAAAAAATTTAGAATTTTTAGAATATCAAAATAAAGAGATTTTTTTGGATTAACTTATAAGGTATTTTTAGTATTTTTTTATAAACTAGATGAAAGTAAAACTTCAGTGCTTTAATAATTCCTTGAAGTTTTATATCTTTTTCTACAACATGGGATCCTCTTCTTAATGTTGTTTGTCATTAAAATGTATCTAGATTTAAATTTAAATATAGACAAACCCCAATACAATATTAGAGTACAGGAAGCAAAAGTCCCATATGAATTACGATTAGGTGGGGCCAATAGGTTGGATTTTTGCTATAAAATTGAAGTTATCCATAGAATCATTATCAAATTCTAGAATCAAAATTTTAAATCAAGAGAAACTACTTTTATTTTTTAAAATATTATGTAATAAATTAAGTTTAAAATTGATAGAAAATTAATTAAAAATAACAATAAACATATAATCAACTTTTAGATGACCAAAGAGAAGAAAGATTGAAATTGAGAAAAACTAAAAAGCATTCACAATTGACCAATACAGTGAGACAAATCAGAAAGACCGAAACAAAGATATTTTCCAAAGGTTTCAGAAAGACCGAAACAAAGATATTTCCAAAAGTTTCACGCGCTTTAACGTACGAGAGGACAGTACGCTAATTCCTGCTTGGCTCTTGACTCTGCATTACCTTACATTTCAATCTTGGAATTTCATGTTTATTCAAAGTTTGATTCCATTTACAGTCCCAACACGCTAACAATTTGTTCTAATGGCAACTCTAAGTTCCCGTAGATTCACGTACGATGTGTTCCTCAGCTTTAGAGGGGAAGACACGCGTTATGGTTTCACCGGTAATCTCTACAGAGCTCTCTGTGACAGGGGACTTCACACTTTCATCGATGATGACAAACTTCAAAGCGGAGACGAAATCACACCAGCACTTCTGAAAGCAATTGAAGAGTCTAGGATTGCCATCGTTGTACTCTCTCACAACTATGCTTCTTCCTCCTTCTGCTTGGATGAACTCACAACAATCCTTCACTGCCAAAGTGAAGGGCTGTTGGTTATACCAGTGTTTTATAAGGTGGATCCTTCTTATGTCAGACACCAGAAAGGTACCTACGAAGAAGCATTGGCTAAGCATCAAAAGAGGTTCAAAGCGCAGAAGGAGAAGTTACAGAAATGGAAGATTGCTCTGCGTCAAGTTGCTGACTTCTCTGGCTATCACTTCAAAGATGGGTACCCACCTTGCCGATCTTTTTATTTTATTGAAAATCAGTATACGTATCAAGACATGGATACAATGCCTCTAGTTTAACTTGATTAAAACTTCAATTTTTGGAACAGGCATGAATACCAGTACGAGTTTACTGAGAGAATTGTTGAACGGGTTTCCAGGGAGATTAATCGTGCTCCTTTACATGTTGCGGATTACCCAGTTGGCCTACTGTCACAGGTGCTGCAAGTCAAGAAACTTTTGGATGTTGGATCGGATGATGTTGTCCACATGATAGGGATCCATGGAATGGGTGGGTTAGGAAAAACAACACTTTCTCTAGCAGTTTATAATTTGATTGCTGATGATTTTGATAGTTCATGTTTTCTTCAAAATGTAAGAGAAGAATCAAATAAACATGGGTTAAAACTGTAGAAATCGAATTGGGAGGTATAATACCAATTTGTATTATCCGGGAAATATACTCTTCATTATGTATATATATAAATTTTCTGGACAAACTATCCAGAACATACAAATACAAACACAACACATTAATCTCTCAAACTCACAACATACAACTCACAACACACAACCCATTTTCACTCTTTCTCTCACACAATACACAAACATGGAGACTCTCTCCTTTCTCACTGCCCATTCTCCACGGTGCACACACTTGTAGTGTGTCACCCGACCACACCTTCCCTTCTATGTTCTTTCTTCTCGGTGGTGGGTATTTTACAACCACTTCTTCAATCACTTTTATAAGTGAGTTGCACACAAAAAGCCAAATAGTGGTTAGTGAAGTGGATGGCTACTTTCGGTGTAGTGTGGTAGTTACAATCATCACAAACAAACAAATAAAACCGTGTGGACCCTTTTAAAGTTTACCCAACAAAACTCCCCCGTAAACTTTAAATTGGTCTTCTTACACTATATCCCATCATCTCGATTTTTTTCTTTTCTCCCAGATCTTCTGCTCCCTGTTCTCGATCTCTTCTCCCTGGATCGTCTAGGTCTTGAGTGTTCTGAATTCCTCCTCTTCAAATCAAACTTTTCCCGAAGCATTCGATCTAGTGGCTCAAATCTCCGCTGCTGGTGCGTCTCTAGAACCCGATCAACCTCTTTACCCAAGAGCTTTGATAGGTCCTTCCACTCCTCGATGACGCACACAAAACTTTCGAAATCATTCGTTCATGATTTCAAACTCTTCTCCACAACTCGGCTGACAGGCAGCGACTCTCCATTTCTGCCGAGTTGATCTGCCACTTTCTCCTTCAAATTTTCAAACTTCGTCTTGCCTAACACAGTTGTCCCCTGCACGCGTCTATTGAAGATGCCTCCTTTGCTATCTTCTCACCGCTGGACTTCTCTGTCCTTCACTCGCGTCTCTTGAAGATGCCTCCTTTGCTATCTTCTCACCGCTGGACTCCTCCTTCACAGGCGTCCTTTTCAACTCAACAATATGGGTCACAGATTTGCTCTTCCTTCTCTGTGGGTACTCGTTTCCCACAATCCACAACATCCCAAACACCGGGATCCAACAAAAGCTTTCATCTGCAGACTCCAATCACCATAGTCGACACACTCTGTCAACTTAATTAAGGACACTGTTAGCAAGATTAGTCATCTCTTAATCTCTCTATTTTTTCGAATACTCAAACTCTCTCTCTTTTTCACTATCCTTTTTTTTCGGACACTCAAAGTTCTCCCAATTAAATCAGCTACATTTTTTTTAACCCACAAGAATGAATTCTCAGCACCTCTCGGCTCTCCTTCCCTTGTGCACACTGCCTTTCAAAATGAAAGATGGATCCTTTTTTCTTTGGCCGTTCTCATGTGCATGTTTTTTTTAAAGATTTTTTTTTATATAACTTTCTTGAATCCATCTTTTGTAGTGCTCCTGGACGCATGCTAAAAATAAGGGGTGGCCCTCCACTTTTCTCAAAAGCTACATCTTTATTCTTTTGTCCTTCTCTTCCACATTTTCCAAAACACATGGAGAGGCCCTCCATTTCTTATTGCTCCTTTCAAATGAATCTAAGTGAAACCCTCTCTCACGGGCTTCCTCTTCACCTCACGGCCCCCTCTTTTATTCCCACACGGCTTTCCACTTCAAGTAAGGTATACACCCTTAAACAATGGGACCCATGCCTTCTTCTTTTCTTCAATGGCCACGACCGAGAGCTATGCTCTCCTTCTTTGCTTGCTGCCGTGTGCACTTCTAAAACGCTGTTGCTTCTTCTTTTCCCTGCTGTTTGGTGGCTGCTCCAATACGTTCCAGCCCCCTCTCTTTGCACACCAACACACCAACTCTCTTGGCTGCTGGACTTCATGTGCGGAAGACGCCATCAACACGTTAGCCTCCAACGTCGCTGTCGCCCGCTCCAGCCCCGGAACCAGCTTGCTCGCCTTCTCCATCTTCGGCACCAACTCCTGCGGAAACGCCTTCGCCACTTCCAGCGTCTCCCCCGGCACCTGCGGGAGACACTCCAGCTGGCTCGCCTGTGGACGCGCCGTCATCTGCTCCGCCAGAGTCTTCCATCATTGCCGCCACCGGCACAGGTACCACGCACGCCAGCTTCTCCTCCGTCTCTCTCCGTACGCGCTGCCAGCTTCTGCTGGAACGCTTCTTCGTGGGCTGTGACCGTGTGCAACTCCAAAGCTGTTGTGTGCTTCCCAAGGTTGGACGTGAACCCGCTGGACGTCACAGTTCTCCTCTCTGCTTTCACGTTCCCGTGCACACCTCCAGCCCGTGACATGCTGCTACCTGTAGCTGGACACCGTCTGAAGACATCCTCCGTCCGTGGCTCTGATACCAATTTGTAGAAATCGAATTGGGAGGTATAATACCAATTTGTATTATCCGGGAAATATACTCTTCATTATGTATATATATAAATTTTCTGGACAAACTATCCAGAACATACAAATACAAACACAACACATTAATCTCTCAAACTCACAACATACAACTCACAACACACAACCCATTTTCACTCTTTCTCTCACACAATACACAAACATGGAGACTCTCTCCTTTCTCACTGCCCATTCTCCACGGTGCACACACTTGTAGTGTGTCACCCGACCACACCTTCCCTTCTATGTTCTTTCTTCTCGGTGGTGGGTATTTTACAACCACTTCTTCAATCACTTTTATAAGTGAGTTGCACACAAAAAGCCAAATAGTGGTTAGTGAAGTGGATGGCTACTTTCGGTGTAGTGGTATTTACAATCATCACAAACAAACAAATAAAACCGTGTGGACCCTTTTAAAGTTTACCCAACAAAAACACCTCCAGACCGTCCTTCTTTCTGAACTACTTGGAGAGAAGGACATCAACTTAGCAAGTGTGCAAAGAGGAATTTCAGTGATACAACAAAGGCTTGGTAGAAAGAAAGTTCTCTTGATTCTAGACGATGTTGACAACAGAAAGCAGTTACAGGCATTTGCTGGAAGATCTGATTGGTTTGCTCCTGGCAGCAGAGTTATCGTTACCACTCGGGACGAACAGCTGCTAAAATGTCATGAGATTGAAAGAACTTATGAGGTGAAGGAATTGAATAAGAATGATTCTCTTCAATTGCTTATATGGAATGCTTTCAAAAGGGAAAAGGTCGATCCAAGTTACAAGGACGTGTTGAAACGTGTAGTGACTTATGCTTCTGGTCTTCCATTGGCTTTAGAAGTAATAGGTTCCAACTTGGTTGGAAAAAGTGTAGAAGAATGGGAGTCTGCGATTGAACATTACAAAAGAATTCCAAACGGTGAAATTATAGAGATACTTAAAGTAAGCTTTGATGCTTTGGGGGAAGAAGAAAAGAATGTCTTTCTTGACATCGCCTGTTGCTTGAAAGGAAGTAGTTTGAAAGAAGTTGAACAAATACTTGGTGTTCTTTATGATAACAACATGAAACATCACATTGGGGTGTTGGTGAAAAAATCTCTCATAAAGGTTGGGCGTGAAAGGTTTAATGTAATTGAAATGCACGACTTGATTGAGGACATGGGTAGACAAATTGACCTGCAAAAGTCACCCAAAGAGGTAGGGAAGCGCAGGAGATTATGGTTAGGGAAAGATATCATTCATGTTTTAAAAGACAACAAGGTAAGTAAGTTTCATCGATGATTTAATATTTTTATGTCATCTGTTCATATCATAGTATTTTTTTTCTCTTAACAATTTGCAAAGTTCTCTTAACACGGGAATTTTTTGATTCGTGAATGTGACTTTTGCATTAACAGGGAACTAGCGAAACTGAAATCATATGCCTGGATTTGTCTATATCTGAAAAAGAAGAAACGATAGAATGGAATGCCAACGCCTTCAGAAGGATGAAAAACCTTAAAATACTTATCATTAGAAATGGTAAATTTTACAAAGGTCCCAATTATTTTCCGGAAAGTTTGAGAGTACTGGAATGGCATGGATACCCTTCAAATTGTTTACCATCAAATTTTGATCCGAACAAGCTTGTGACATGCAAGTTACCTCACAGTTATTTTACGTCATTTGGATTCCTTGGCTCATCAAAGGCAAGCTTAAACAGTGTTTTCCTCATCTTGTAAATCATTAAAAACAACATAAATATCTTAACTTTTTTTCTTTTTATTTTCTTTGCAGAAGTTCGAGAATCTAACGGTCTTGAATTTTGACCGGTGCAAATTTTTAACACAGACACCCGATATGTCTGATCTCGGAAATTTAGAGGAAGTTTCATTTAAAGATTGTGAGAGTTTAGTTGAAGTTCACGACTCAGTTGGTTTTATGAGTAAACTTAAAATATTGAATGCGGAAGGTTGCATCAAGCTTATGAGTTTTCCACCTCTCAACTTGCCCACTCTTGAAAGACTAGAACTTTCATATTGTTCGAATCTTGAGAAATTTCCAGAAATACTAGGAAAGATGGGAAACATAAGGGTACTTCAATTGGAGGAGCTTCCCATTAAAGAATTGCCACTGTCGTTTCAAAATCTTATTGGACTCGAAGACTTATTCTTGTCATGTGAAATTGTTCACTTACCAAGTAGCATTGCAACGATGCCTAACTTGTTTGACTTTACTGTTACTAATTGCAAGGGGTGGCAATGGGTAAAATCAGAAGATGCTGAAGATAATGTAGGCTCAATGGTTCCTTCAAAGGTAGATTGGTTTTCGGCCTTTTCTTGCAACCTGGATGATGACTTCTTTTCAGTAGGTTTCATGCGGTTGGCACAAGTGCGTAGTTTATTTCTACGGAACAATAACTTCACACAGCTTCCCGAATGCCTCAAAGAATTTCACAACCTCTGCACTCTTGATGTGAGTCATTGCAAGCATCTTCAGGAAATCAGAGGGTTTCCACCAAAATTAAAACTTTTCAAGGCAATAAACTGTATATCCTTGACTTCCTCCAGCTTAAGCATGTTGCTAAATAAGGTTAATTTTGTCTTGCTCTTAAAATTTTTTATTGATAATACGTAGTGCTCTTAATGTTGGTAAGCTAATGAGTTCTTTATGAATTATGTATGATTAGCAGCAACTGCATGAAGCTAGAAAAACTGAGTTCTGGTTTCCAGGAGCAAGTTTTCCAGAGTGGGTTGATCTCCAGAGCAGTGGACCTTCTTGTTCTTTCTGGTTTCGTAATAAGTTTCCTGCCAAAGTTCTTTCTCTTCTTATAGCACCTGTGGGTGATAAAGATGAGTTTGGTTTCATTAGACCTATGGTGTTCATTGATGGCAAAGTTCAAGAATCACGAGCCTTTTATTTCAAGGAGATAGAGAGGATGTTTGAATTCGATCAAACATACCTTTTTGATCTACAAAAGCTACCTACCTATAGTAATTTGTTTGAACAACCTTTACAAAAGGAATGGAAGCATGTGAAGGTTACATATGAAGGTGTGATAGAGTCCTCAATTGTTAAAGCAACAGGAATTCATGTATTCAAAAAGGAAAACAGCATGATGGAAGACATTCGGTTTGATGATCCTTATACCAACAACAAATTAGACAAAGATCTCAACGCTTCTCAATCACAAAACCACTTGTTAAGAACCATAGGTTTCTTCATGTGCAAATTTTTCATAGGCCTTTTTCTTTTTTCTTGTTGTGCTTTTATTTTTTACTTTATTTACCGGCCTTAGCACCAACCCAAGTAGGATATGAGTGGGATATTTCCATTTTTATTATATATATATATATATATTATGTTTGGAATAATGGGTTAAGAATTTTCTTTGTCTTATTCGGAGTTTCTCTTATAAGGTTTTTCTATTTCTTACTTCTTCAAAGTCCGAACCATTAAAAGTTTGAACCGAATGGATGGGTACATACTAAAAACATTCTTATGTTCAAATTAGTTAATTATATCGATCTGTTATCACAATTAAGTCTTAAATATATAAGATATGTAATCACCTACCTTCTTACCTTACATCTGTATTTATAAGTTTTGGAATGAACTTTTGGTTAGGATTGACCCAATTAGAGCCTAATAGCTCATAAATATTCTTTATTTTGTTAATTCTATTGAGCTTGTGCTGAAGCTTCTAATCAGATTGTGACCAAGATGTCATCAGAGAAAATGGGATCGATTGGTCAGCTTTGTCTCTAAGGTCCTAGAAAACATTATGGTGAGGATTGATCGACCGATCAAGTGGTGGGTGCGTTGACCGGGCAGTTTATATGGTACACAAACCTTCCAAGCCCGAATCAGTACTAACCAATGAAGGGGTTTAAGAGGATTGGTCGGCCCGATCGTTCGCTCAAGAGTTAAGGGTTGTTGCCCAGTTCTTATTTTGAAAATATAGTCGTTTTTGGGGAGGTTTTGGGACTCAAGCCTCTTCGTTTCTTGCATTTAGAAGAAGTTATAAGTCATTCGAATTGGATGATTAGATCGATATGACGACGTGGGATACGTTGTTCATAGGCATTTTCAACCTTTCATGATTTTATATTTAAAGTTATTTTTCTAATTTCTAAATAATTTATTATAATAATAATAATATTATATTAAATTCTTACGAGTAAAAAAATACTTACCTAATAATGCACATCTTAAATATACTAAAACCCCAAGGTTCACACACACACAAAGCTACATCCAGTTTTCCTTTAAGCACTCTTAAAGGTTACACTATCTTGGAGAAGATACAACCAGTTTTATTACTCTTGGTTTACAACGAGTATAACCACTCTTGGTATAAAATAGTCCAACACACTATAATGTTTAACTCCTTCTAAGTTAAACAACCAAGTGTTTTAAATCACTTATGATTATCTAAACACAACAAAAGTGTTTTTAAAAGGAAGTACAAATTGAGAAGCTCTCTTAGAGAGGATTTAAATCAATATAAATTATATCTGGAAAACGTGTTATAAAGAGTTTTCTTTTTCAAAGAGCTAGAAGACATGAGAATGACAACGTAAGAATTTATGCAATTTTTTTTTATTTTTATATTCATGCGGTCTTCTTTATATAAGTAATTTCGAAAAGATTCGTTACTCAAAAACATTGACTTTGATGTAGGTATTGTAGCCTTTTGTACTACGACAAATGTTACTTTGTTTTTGTAGAGGCAACTATGTTGCATGTATGGATTAGGCTCATAACGCATTGAAGAAACATTTCTAGATTGTCTTCATATCTCTTAATGTTTTTCTGAATTAGTGTAGAACATTTGAATAAAGTATTTGTTCTTTATGTATCTGCACAGATAAAGATAAATAACAAAATAGACAAAAGAGTATTATTTGTATATTTGGATTTATAATGTTAGATGTTCATTATATTTATATTGTTTAGCAAGGTCCGTGTACTATAACGTTTATGCTATTTTGTTTATCAAATCTATTGTGTTTATGTTAGACTCTTCTCTTTAGTCTTTATGATAGATATTGCATTTAGGATATGACATATAGTGTTTAGCTCGTTATCCTAGACGGTTATTTTAATAGACATTATTTCGTTGGATACTTTTGTTAAACCTCAAGATAAAGGGTTCCTAGACGATATTGTTTTAACACCCTATTGAACACAAAAAGTGAAGTTGAGCATCAACCAAACTATTATATAAAAATAAGGCTATACCTTGGTTTAGACATTCAATTCTGATAGTGTTAAGCCTTTTCTTCTTGTAATAATTAGGATATATATAGAGAAGAACGAGAGAAG